TATAAAACAAACATAGTAAGAAAACCTTGATTTGTCCTGTGGTTTTTCTGTAACTTCTACAGCCAGTTGTGCTATGGCTAGTGAGGAAGAGCTTCCATTTTCCCCATCAATACTCCAGGCAGGTTACCAATGCTACCACCTAGAGAGAGCAGACAGAGTCCTCCAAGAAACAGCCCCTCTCTGCAGTGGTCTAGAACATAATGCACCTAATGAGTCCTCATACTGTTTCCTAAGCTGCAGGCAAGGAGCATCCATTTTGCAATCCAGTTTTTGAACAGAAGTCATTTAAGTGAACCCAACAAAACCAGTAAGTACAGTATGGATCCCACTGGACATCAACCTCAAGGCCATAAGGCAGACATTTCAAGGGAAAAAAAATGTAACTTTACATGTGAGCATTAACTACTGTAGCCAGGGCTGGAGAGATGGCTCGGCTGTTAAGAGCACTGACTGCAGTACCCACAGGGCGTCTAAGAACCATCCTTAACACCGGATCCAGGGGAATCCGAAGCCCTCTTCTGACCTGTGCTGCACTGCATGACACAGGTGCACTCAAAAACATGCAGGCAATACAATCATACACATAAAATAAAAATACATAAAATATTTTTAAAAAATACTGTAGCATACATACCATCATTATCAAAATACATTATAGTTATACTTTACTTCATAAATTGAACCTCTTACACATACATTATACACTAAATATAAATATACGTTATATAAATATACGTTAAATAAATATAAATATACGTTAGCCCCTGCATGTAAATATTGATTTCCAATTAATTATCTCCTCTGTTTCAAAAGTCAATTTTTAAGGCCTGGTGATGAGTTCCAGGCCAGCTGGGGATGCAAGGAGACCCTGTCTCAAAAAGACCCTTGGGCATATCCTATCATCACAGACCACTTCCCGCGCACCTCAAGTCAGAGCCAAGACTAGGCCGCCCGCCCCAGCTCCTGCCGACACCAAGCACCCGGGGCCCACCCCAAGGCTGGCCCGCGTCCATCCCGGACCCCGCCCCACGGCCGGCACGCGCCCGGCCCCTCCCGGCTCGAGGCCCGCCTCACCGCCTCGGAGAAGCGGCCTTCGTGGCACCGCTGGTCCCCCTGCACCGCCAGCCATGCGAACTGCACCGCGTCCCGCTCCAGCGACGCCCTCGCGTTCATGGCGCCGAGGGAAGGGGACAAGCGCTGACACTCGCCGGCTAAGCCACTCCGCCTCTCCTCAGACCGATGGGCGGCGCACCACGCAGCTCCAGCAACTCCGGTTCCGAGTCTTTGGCCTCCACGCCCCCCGCTCCTCATACCACGCCCACAGGCTGCCCTGCGCAGGCGCCGCAGGGCCCGCCGTGCCACCAGGGTGCAACGGTGGGCGGGGCCAGGTGGGCGGTGGGCGGGGCCAAGTTGGCTGGTCGGGTGGCGTGGAGTGGGGTGGGGTGGCAGAGTTCAAGTCCACCCTGGTCTACCTGTCTCAAAAAGACAAAAAAAAAAAAAAAAAGAAAAGAAAAGAAAGATGTCTAGGCATAAGAAAAAGCATATGCAACACGTTTAAGGTCTGAAAATACAAGGTTTATTATAAGGAAATGAATTTAATTTGGTGTCGCTGGAACAGAAAATCAGACAATATGATTGAGCTTGTTTCTCAACACAGGCCCTTTGTCACAAGGGAGAGAGCAAGAGAGAGAAAGGGAGAGACGGGGAGGGAGGAAGAGAGAGAGAGAATGCGAATGAAGAGAACCTAGGATGGTGGTATATTTAGAGTTACAAGTGACCTTCATAGAACTACTGGTCCAAACATGCAACATACAGTTACTGCAATAACGTGTGACAAAGAACAGTTAGAGTGCCAAGGATAGTGGTACTTGCCTATAACCCTAACACTCTCAAGCAAGAGGATCATCAATTCTAGGCAAGCCTAAGCTATACAGTGAAACCACCAAACATCAACCAAACAAAAAAATACAGTCTGTCTGAATAACTATATGCCTGACCAGTGAGCTTTCTCCCTGAAGCCACACTACGTGGCACAATATTAGAATGTTTTGGAGGGACAATAATATGTTCAAAATCATGAGATGACTGATTAATTGACTAATTGACAGATTTTACATTATATATTCTTTATTTAAAATTTCTCTTTACTGGGGCTGGAGAGATGGCTCAGCGGTTAAGAGCACTGACTGCTCTTGCAGAGGACCCGGGTTCAATTCCCAGCACCCACATGGCAGCCACGAACCATCCTAACTCCAGTTCCAGGGGAATCAGAAGCCCTCTTCTGACCTCCACAGCATTGCTCGACACGGGTGTACTAACATACATGCAGGCAATACACTCATACACATAAAATAAAAATAAAGAAATAAAATATAAAATTTCTCTTTAATATACTCATAAATAAAATATACACATAAATGACATAAATACTGGAAGATTTTCATTAAAGTTCTATTAGGCTCCTCCCTTCCATTTACAACCATGGCTAGCACAGTAATAACCTTGGTATGCATTTTTACATGCTTCCTCCCAAACCAAAAATTCATATGACAACACATCCAAACATATATATGTATGTTTGTAGGGATTGAGGGCCATTTCAAAATGAATTAAACATAATTGATTCTTTCCTTATTAAACAATGTCTTTTGGAAATCACTCTAAGTCATGTGATTCTAAGTCGTTGAATCTACTTTGTTGATTACAGCTTTATTAATATAATTTACTACTGTTTAGAATTTGCATCTGTTGTCAAAAGTGAAATTACTGATAGGTTTTACTGGGCTGTATCTTTATTGGATTTTGGAGTTAATGATCTGCTAACTTCTTCAAAGGACTTTGAGAAGTTTCCAACTTTATACGAAATTATTTAAATATTGAATTGAGGGAGTGTGTGTGTGTGTGTGTGTGTGTGTGTATGTGTGTGTCTATTTTGGTTTTTTGAGACAGTTTCTCTGTAGCCCAGTTGGCCTGGGACTCCCTATGTTGACCAGTCTGGCCTATATCTCACAATGATCTGCCTTCCTCTGCCTCCCAAGTACTGGGATTAAAGGTGTGCACCACCACACCCAACTGGACTTATTTGCTTTACAGAAATAAGATTATATTCCATCTTGGGTTACTTTTACTGGTGTCTTTTCAACAACAATTTTTTTAAGTAGGTTATTTCAAAGGAATTGATTTATTCAAGTCTGCCGTTTCTGGAGATAAATTTAATAGAAAAACAACACCTCTTTCTTTGTTATACCTAGGAATATAACATTCTCTGAGAACATTTTTGCTTTTTGTACATTTGTTGTTAGCACATAAAACAATGGCTTTCATTCTATTTTCATACATACATCTCGCTAGTCTTTGCTCTTATGCATTTCCCACTGCCCTGTCTTTTCCTTTGCCCTGCCATAACCCTATCCTACCTCTCCCCAAGTAGTTCTCCCACTTGGCTTTAGTGTTATCCCTTCCTTCTCCTAAATACTGCGTCTACTTTAATTTCATATAAGTACATATCTTATGTATATACATGGATATGTAAATCCCACATATGAGAGAACACCTGCAATATTTGTCTGAGTTTGGCTTATTTTGCTTAATATGATGATCTCCAGTTCCATTAATTTTTCTGCAAGGTCAAAATTTCATATATATATATGTCCCCATGCCCCACCCCCCGTCTTTTTGAGACAGGGTCTCCCTGTAGCCCCTGGTGGCCTGGAACCCGCTATGTAGACCAGGCTGGCCTTGAACTCACAGAGATCTGCCTGCCTCTGCCTCCCAGGTGCTAGGATTAAAGGCATGCATCACCACGCCTGGCTTTATACCTTAGTTATCTAACAAGCTACTTAGCTAAAAATGTTTGCCAAATGTAAGAATTTTCTGGTTGTATTTAGAGTCTTTAAAGAACACAATCATATCATTTGTAAATAGAGAAAATATGACTTCTTTCTTATTTTCATCTCCTTTATTTCTTTCTCTTGCTTTATTGCTCTTGCTAATAAGTCAAGCATTATACTGAACACGAGAGGAGAAAGTGTGAACACTCTTTTTGATTTTTAGACACATTTTCTCCCAGTGCTTCCCCATTTCATATAATGTTGGCTCTACGTTTGTTGTGTATATCTTTATTATACTGGATATGCTCCTAGTTTCTTAAGGGCTTTTATGGTGAAGGAAGTTTGAATTATATCAAAGGCCTTTTCTACATCTATTGAGAGGCCTGTGTAATTTTGAACCTTGAGTCTATTCCTGTGCTGATTCTACTTACTGATTTTGCAAATCTTGAATCAGTGTTACATTCCAGGAAGGAAACCAAGTTGATCCTGGTGTATGATTGGGATGGTTAATGGTAACTGTCAACTTGACAGAATCATAGACTTTTTAATTCTTCATCCAACATTTTACTCTTTTCAGAATCTTTTATGTTTTTTTTTCGGAGCTGAGGACCAAAAATTTGTAGCTGTTCTACTCATTGGAGTGAAAAACTAGAAACATCCCAGGTATCTATTCACCATAAGAGAATGGAAAACAAATCACAGTATACCCATAAAATAAAATACTACTCCGTAATAAAAAGGAAAGAACTAATACACAAGACGCCATGGATAAATCTCAAAAAGCATGATGCTGAGTTACTGTGGCAGCTACAAAAGGGAAGACTGTATGTTCCATTTACATGAAATCCAAGAATGGGAAACTCTAATCTTTGGTGGAAAATTATCGAAAGGTTTATGGTTGGGATACAGAGAGAAAGGACACGGAGTAGTGGAAAGTTCGTGTGTATGAGTGTTGGCCTGCATGTGTGAATGTGCACCATGTGCATGCCTAGTGCTCACAGAGGTTAGGAATGGGCATCGGATCCCTAGAAGCCGGAGTTACAGAGGATTGTGAGCCACCACATGGGTGCAGGAAACTGAAACTGGATCCTTTGAAAGAGCAGCCAGTGTTCGTAACTACTGAGCCACTCTCCAAACAGCTTAATAGTAAAACTAAAACGTAAGTCCAAATTAGAGCGTGTAATAATGGAAACTAATAAGCTAGTAAGTAACAAGTCAAACCCAAGCAAACAGAAAGACGGTAACAGGACATGGCAAAACAGAGTGCTTCTTAAGCATGCCAGGGTAGCTCAGCATGGGGATATTTATAAGCACTGGGTCTGAGTGATGGCTCAGCGGGCGAAGGCATCTGCTGCTGAGCCTTACAACCTAAGTCCAGTTCTGGAACCCACATGGTAGGGGAGAGCCTTCTCCCACAAGTTGTCCTCTGACCTCCACTAGTGTGCCGTGGCATGCATGCACCTACACACACACACATACACACACACACACACACACACACACACACAAAATTAATAAGTGGATAAATGGAAAACAAATTTACAAAAGTAGTATTAAGAGAATTAAGAAGAAATGTCACATTTTCTGTAGATGCAAAGAATTCATTTGATGAAATTTATAATCTAGTAATAACAAATTTGTGTTAAAGTAGTAAATGGAGATTCTTTAGGAAGTTGTGTCTATCAGGAAACATATGGAAGCCTCCACTACAGAAGCTTCTTGAAATACATATGTATACAATATAAAAAGAGTTTAAATGGAGTTACCCTATAATGGTGGTCAATGGTTCTTCCAGACAAACACCACAGACTAGCAAATAAAAAGACAAATGCCAGGAATAAACTCCCTTTTTTGGAGCTGTGGACCAGGCGGGTCCCATAGACCCTCAAATATAACTGGCTATTGCCATTGCCCTCGATTACCTGTCAGAACCTGGCAGCAAGACCCTATTGTTCAACACACTACATACATGAATTACAGAACAAAGAGAAATCAAGCTGGTACTGACCGTGAAGCTTCATCTGTACTGGCTAGTTTTTATAGTGCTAGAAGGTGTTAGGCATACTACTGAAAAAGAAAAGTAATCATCAGCCTTACCCAGCTGTGAACCCTGCAAGCTACAGTATTGACTGGCCTGGAAAGATATGCCCACTGGTGCAGTAACAGCATGAATGTCACGGGAGTAACCAACTATTATCTGATTGGATTTAAGGCTCATTTCATGAGACGGGAGTCCATATCTGGCACTTATTAGGGCCAAGAACCTGTGGCTAAACAGATTACAAACCTTAGAGAAGAACCTACTACTATTATTCTGCTAAATGGACATAGTATGAAACCAACTCCTAGTGACTTATGGTTATACCCATAGGGTAATGCATCTTTCAACTCTCATCAGAGAAGCTTCTTGTAGCAGACGGCAGTTAACACAGAGACCCACCACTGGTCAACGTGCAGAGACTGCAGAGTGCTCAGTC